GAAAGAGCAAGTTTCAAAGTCAAGCACCAAGCTAACCTCTTTCTGTCCACACGCAGATCACACTCAGTGTGACAGGCTCTCCCGTTTATCCAGAGTATGATGCATTTAGTGCCAAGGACAACGGCGACAGCGTTCAAAAACTCATAACGTGCTGAACATTCACGTCCTGGAAAAGCAGCGTCACCGCATTGTATGCGATAGTTATGCAATTCGACAGTGTGATGTTGCTGAGTCATGTTCAACCTTTAGCAAAGCCGGCTCAACCCAGAGACTCTAGGCAAACCGATGGATCTGCCAGATGTCGATGTAATCAAATGGGCACCGCATGGTTAAGCAGCCGTTCTTGGCAGGAAGAAACGAGTGAGAGGGATGTTTACATCCCAGCAAAAGATCCCGACTGTAGCTGATTCTCAAAGGAGACAAGTGGGGAAAAGAGCCACAAATTCTCTCCCCCTTCATCTCTGCTTATGATATCGACTTGGAAGACTTTGGATGGGGGAGTGATCCTGGCTGATTGATCCATCCAGTAAGACAGGAAAAGACCATGCGGTGAGAGAGACCCTCTCGCTTAGAGCTCCCGTCGCTTGTTACGTCAGGGATCAGTCTGTGTTTTGTTGAAACAAAAGACAGGACTATACAGCACTTTAAAGACTAACAAGATGGTTTATTAGGTGATGAGCTTTCGTGGGCCAGACCCACTTCCTCAGATCAAATGGTGGAAGAAAATCGGCACGACCATATATACCAAAGGGATACAATCAAAAAAAGGTGAACACATATAAAACTGACAAATCAGATTTTAGCACAGTGGGGGAGGTGTGTGTGTGTGTAGGGAGGTTAGTGTCCATGAGATAATGATATCAGGGGTGATAATTGGGGAAGCTATCTTTGTAATGGGTAAGATAATTCGCATCTTTGTTAAGGCCCATTCATATATGTGTTCAATTTTTATTATTATATCCCTCTGGGTACGTCTACACTACAGCGCTAATTCCAACTAAGCTAATTTGAACTAACGCGTCTAGAACTAAAAACTAGTTCGAATTAGCGTTTTGCTAATTCGAACTAGCATGTCCACATTAAGTGGACCCTGAAGCGGAGTTAAGGCTGGCCGGAACAGGTGCCAGCAGGGCATCAGGTTAGGACTTAGAGCGTGGAGCTGCTGCCTCAGGCTAGCCGAGGGCTGCGCTTAAAGGGACCCGACCCCCACCC